TTTTTTTTTTTGAGTTGGAGTCTCACTCTGTCGCCCAGACTGGAGTGCAGTGGCCGCTTCTGGCCACTGCTGCCTCGACCTGCTGGGCTCCGGCGATCCTTCCGCCTCAGCCTTCCAAGTAGCCGGAATTACAGGCATGCGCTACCACGCCCGGCTGATTTTTTGATTTATTGTAGAGATGAGGTCTCGCTGCCCAGGTGGGTCTCGAACCCGCGGGCTCAGGCAATCTACTCACCTCAGCCTCCCAAAGGCGCGGGATTACAGGCTGAGCCACTGAGCCCGGCTCTCCTATTTCTTTTCTTGTCAGGATATAAAAGGGTAGCTAGGCTCCCATTGCATGTGTGGAAACCTTTCTTGTCTTGCTGCCCAAGACTCACTTGTCTGTGTCTCCCTGCTCAAATCTTTCTACCTCCCTCTCCCTACCAAGTGGTCTGCCTCTCTTTTTGGTCTGGGCTTGCCCTCTGCTTACTGAGAGTGGTTCTTTATTCCTGCAGGGAGTTTTACAGGGTTTGTGGAAAGATTTTCTTCTGGAGTGTCATTGAGATAGATGTTGTTATTTTTCTTTTCATTTTTCAAAATGTTGTGGCCACTGATTTTTGCCTTGGAAAACAGAGCAATTGAGATTTTCCTACCCCTTAGCAATTCCAGTTCACTGAGATTTTCCTGTTACGACCCCTCTTCCTCTTCAGTGTCCTCTCTTCTGAGGCTCGGACAGGAGCCCTCTGTCCCCTCTCAGAAGCCCATCCTCCCCAGGAGACTCCAGCCAGTTTCTGTGCTCCCTCCTCCCACCCACTCCCAGGGAGTCATCCCCTCTCACCTGTGAGCAGGAGCCCCTGCCAGGGGACGTGCCCTCTGTGGGGAAGGGTTGTGTAGGGCGCCATAGTCTGAGCTGCCTGTTCTGTCCTCCTCTGTGGAAAAGAGCTTTGATCTCAGAAACGCAGGGCAGCTCCACAGGTCCGCTCTGCTGTCCTTCCTCCCTCTCGCTCAGCCTCCTCCCTGGGGCAGGAACACTTGGCTGGGGGCGGGGTCGGTGCCAAGATGCATCTCTGTCCGTCCCCTCTCAGTCCTGCCCCCTTTGTGCCTTCTCCTCTCCCTTCTGTCTTTGAATTGCCTTCTTCAGTTATGATCCTTCTTCCACTTGCCCACAGACACACAGACACACACAAACACGCAGACTGCACAGACATACACAGACACAGACACACACACACATGCAGTCTTACACACAGACCGCACACACAGAGACACACACAGTCAAACACATACAGTCATAGATCCCCATACACACAGACACACAAATAGACTACACACAGAGACACAGCTACACAGACACACAGATACATATAAACACACACACAGACAGACACATCAACACTCATACAGACAGACAGACAGACACAGACAACACACATTCACACACACGTGGATGCACACACATGGACTAAACACACAGACACAGTGACTGTACAAATAGACACACACGGACACACATGAATTTGCACACAGAGATACACACACACAAACACACAGATACACACACACACATACCTACCCCCTGTTGGTTGGGTGGGCACAACCCTGGGCTCTCATCATCCTGCCATCCCCAAGGCTTCAGATCTGGGTGTGCACCTCCTCTTCCTCCCTCTCCCATCCTCTCTGGCTCTTCCCTTCACAGCAGGACCTGGGAACTTCCTCAGGATCCTGCCACAGGGGTCTCACCTTCTCCGTGCTTGTGAATCACCTGTGGAACTTTATAAAGGTTGTGTAGGCACAGATGCCACCTTGGAAATGCCACTTCCTTAGCTGCCCAGGTGACTGGGGAGACTTCTCCTCTCCCTGAGAACCCTGGGAACATGCAGATTCAGGTCTGTAGGGTTGGGGTGGACCCCAGAGTCTGCATCTAACAAGCTCCCACAGGACAAATTACACCAAATTTAGTTTTTTTGTGGGGAGGGGTCTCACTTTGTCACCCAGCCTGGGGTGCACTGGCGAAATCATGGCTTGCCACAGCCTTGACTTCCTGGGCTCAGGTGATCCTTCCACCTCATCCTCCCAAGTAGCTGGGACTACAGGCGCACGCCACTGCACCTGGCTAATTAAAAAAATTTTTTTAATAAAGATGAGGTCTCACTATGTTGCCCAAGCCTGTCTCAAACTCTGGGCTCTAGTAATCCACCCACTTCAGACTCGCAAAGTGCTGGGATTATAGGCATGAGCCACTGTGCCCAGCCCAAATTTAGTTTGAAGGTTTCAAGTGTTTTTATTTGCGATTCTACAATCAGGTGACGCATCATCTCATAAAACAAAATACATGTTGCAATAAACTGAGCAGAAGAGATTGGTTTTACTACTGAAAAGCGCTGCAGAAAGCAGAAACAGGGAACAAAGGGTGTCCTTTCAAAGTTTCTTTCCTTGTAAGGTGGAAGGAGGAACAGAACAATGGAGAAACACTTGCTTGGTTGAGGCAAGGTTACTTGCAGTTTCCCTTTTTTTTGGAAGGATAACCATAGGGAGGATGGCATTATCATGTCACTGATGGAAACAGGCCTGCTTGAGACACTGGATTATCATCTGTCTCTCCTAATGTCTTGGAAAGTCAAGTAGGGTCATTTGATGACATGGAAGGTTAGTGTGAGTGGCTCCATTGTGGTTAGTCTGGTCTGTGGGGACCTCAGGCAGGAAGGAGCTTAGTCCACAGCAGTATCCTGTAACATTTATTTTTTTATTTTTTGAGTTGGAGTCTCACAATCTGGAGTGCAGTGGCATACTCATGGCCACTGCAGCCTCGATCTGCTGGGCTCAGGCGATCCTTCCACCTCAGCCTTCCAAGTACTACAAGTACTACCTTCCAAGAACTACAGGCATGTGCCACCATGCCTGGCTAATTCTTATTTTTATTTTTTGGTTTATTGCAGAGATGAGGTCTCGCCAAGTTACCCTGGTTGGTCTTGAACCTGTGGGCTCAGGCAATCCTCTCACCTCCACTTTCCAAAGTGCTGGGATTACAGTATAAGCCACCACGCCGGGCTCTATGACTGTTATTTAGCAAAGCTCTCAGGTGTGCTGATGGCACTGTCCTGTGTAGACACTTCAGTATCAGGGCTGATAGACCTCTGTCCCCTGGGAGGATGACCTGCCCTCCATAGGGCTGACCTCTGCTGTGTCCTGGTCTTGGATAGGTCAGCACTAAACAGAGCCCCTGGGGTACCTGTGGAATTATTTTTCCTTGTGACAACTGAGCCCTGGGTCTCCCTGTGTTCTCCAATGTTCTGGAAAGGCGGGATGATGCCCGGGGGGAAGGTGGCAGAGATGGCTCTGGGAGCTAAAATGGGCTAGCTGGATGATGACTGAGGAGGGATCTGCCTTCTGATTTCTATGCCACTTTTCTAGCCTCTGACACAGGGACAGAGACCCAGGCCCTGGGGCCTTAGGAAGAGCTGCAGCTCTGGGTTTGAAGGGGCAAGTGTCCTGGGAAGAGAGGACTGTGGTGGAGGGAGGTCACGTGGCTCTGGGCTCTGTTGTCCTCAGAGGAAGGCTGTTCAGGGAGGTCCTCCCTTTCTGTGTCTGTGGCTTAGCTTTGGCTCAGGGCCTGTCCATGTTCTCCCTGACCATCTGGGCAGTCTCTGTCCTCTGCCGGGCTGCCTGTCCTGTGGTCACTTCCCGTGGGTGGGTGTAGGAGGGAGCGAGGAGTTACACAGGGACCCTCTGTAGAGTGGGGTCCTCAGAGTGTCCAGGAAGGAGTGGGCAAGACAGCCCATGGGAGGGACCAGAAGAGTCTGTTGGAGAAAGGGTTGGAGATCAGATCCCATCCCTACCTCTTCAGCCAAAGCCAGGTTCATGACTAGGGAAATTAATTTCCTGAGGGTTGTCTGTGTTCCAGTGTTGCCCCCTGGAGGGAATGGGGAGACCTGCAGCCAATGTCAGGGATGCCGCAGGGACGCTGACCAGGCTCCACATGGTGTGAGCTGGCCCTGAGCCCTGTGCAGAGGCAGGCCCTGACCTCCCGCTGAATGGTCAGGTCAGTTCACTTGTCTACGAATGGATCCAAAAGGGATTAGAATGGGTTGAGTATGGTGATTAACTTAAAATAAAAACAAATGATTTTGACTCATTAAACTATGACAATATCCTAATCACCAACATGCCTTCCATTTATATCAACCTGCTCCTGGCTTTCACCACTTCTCTTCAAGGCATATTAATCTACCGATCACATCTTATATCTTCCCTGTTATGCTTGGAAGGCATAATATTATCAATGTTTATCACAGGCTCACTTGTGATTCTTTTTTATTTTATTTTATTTTTGAGCCTAGCCCTGTCGCCAGGCTGGAGTGCAGTGGCATCACAGAGTGCAGTGGCATCACGGAGTGCAGTGGCATCATGGTAGGATGATTTTTAACATAGTAGGAAGTTTGGATTCTGTACATAATCTAGGCCATACATGTTAGACACTAAAACTAATAGTGCTAGGCCTGTAACAGTTTCACATGCTGCAAATACTAGAAAGATAATTAGAATTATGTTGGCTAGGGTAAAGTGAAGATTTAGAGTCAGGAGTGGCCGGGCGCGGGGGCTCACATCTATAATCCCAGCACTTTGGGAGGCCGAGGTGAGAGGATTGCCTGAGTCCATAGGTTCAAGACTAGCCTGGGCAACTTGGCGAGACCTCGTCTCTACAATAAATAAAAAAATTAGCCAGACATGGTAGCAAGCCTGTAGTTCCGGCTACTTGGAAGGCTGAGGTGGAAGGATTGTCTGAGCCCAGCAGATGGAAGCTGCAGGGGCTGTGAGCATGCCATTGCACTCCAGCCTGGGCAGCAGAGTGAGACTCCAACTAAAAAAAAAAAATCATACTACTAACATTTATACTTTTGCCGGTAACATGATACTCCAAAAAAACCTACCATCTGAATTAACACCATCATGCACAGTCTATTGATTAGCCTTATTACTCTTTCTCTCCTGAGTAATACTGTGGGTCCCCAGGGTGCCTGACTGCATCAGAGCAGGGTGAGCCCAGGGGTTCAGGAGTTGTCCAGAGGACTCCTGGTTCTGACTCAGGAGAACTGTCCATCAAGGGGAGGCGTTGCCTCAGAAGGGGCCATCTGTCTCCAAGGTTTCAAAGGAAGGGCCCTGGGAGACATCTCTGGAGCCTTGAGAGAGAGAGTGCCAGCTTGGGAGGTGGTCCCTAGAGTACCCTGTGTTCTCTCCATCACAGCACTAGGGATGCTGCCTCCAAGTCATCTGTGTCCCTCTCTGTCATCTGCTCCAGGCCTCCCCACAGAGCCCAGGGACTGAAGCAACTGTCACCTGGAGATACAACTTGGGATCCCTGGTTCCTCTGTTGGGGGAGGGGAGGCCCCGTGGACCTTCAGCCCCTCTGTGTTGGAAGCAAGGGTAGGTCCTGGGTTATCCTGTCCCTTCCTCATGGGAAGTTGGCCTGGTCAGATGTCTACAGGGGACCTCAGCCAGGTGTCCCCAGTCACCAGAGCCCTTCTGAGCTGAGGTGTCATCCCCTGACTTCCTTTATAGTTTAGGTGGGGCTCTGTCCTCAACTGTGGTCACTCCATCTAGGATGGAGGGTCCCAAGTCTGTGCCAGGTCAGGTGTTTTTGTGAGACTAGGAAGGACACAGGCCCTCCTGGAGCCATGACATCACTCACAAGTTAGAGATGGGGGAGTGTCAGTGTTTTGGGATGAATCTTATTCTGACCCCTCACTGTCAGAAAGCCCCATTCTCCCTCCTGCTGTGGGCACACTGCCTCCTCTCGTGCTAATGCTGGTGCCCCTGTGTCCACACAAGACAGACTCTGAGCTCCAGATGTCACACAGAGGTGAGTGCTGCTGTTGCATGGTTTCCCATCCATTAAACAAGGGTT